TTCCCTCATTCGATTACTCCCTAGCTTATAAGCTACATCCATGTTCTAATTTTGTTACATTTTTAGAGCAGCACAGCTTTTTCGAGTCCTTTTAGCGGGCTAAATTGGATTTTGGGAACGGATTGAACATTGTGACTGGAATTAAGTTAGTGCTCAAAGGCAGTAGATTGGAAAACCAGAGCGGAAGCTACGGGCGAGTGAGGCTGCTCGTCCTTGGTGCTGCGATGACGTGCCGTGGCTAATGACCACGCCCTCGAAATTACTTAACAGCCGGAATCCACGAGCTTTACAAAAAAGTTGTCTTCTTTTTATACTTTTCTCTCAAGATCGCCCACAACTATCAATGTTTAGTAAAGGTTTACTGATCCTTGTTAACCGTATGTTAACCAACTATATTTTTTTCCTAAATGTCGATCAAGGTACGGCTGCGGTAACATTTATTTATTTACAATAACAATTTCAACTGGACTGTTTGCAATAAATATCGAATATTCTGGTAAAATTTTGCTTACGCCCTTCTTTGTCCTTCGTAAGAACTGATTCAATTTCAGCATTTATTATAATCGATTTATTATAAATTCGTAAATGTTATCGAGTTTGGTAATGTTTGCTTGCTATGTCTAAAAGACAGGCAGAAACTTCCAAGGTCTGTGCAGTAAATCTGCCTAGTGAACTGTTGCATAGTTACAAGGTGCGTACGCGTACGGTAGCCGTGAAAAATTGCACGTTGATTTGATATTTTAGACGCGTACAACAAATGCTTTGTTTTGCAATCGCCGCGCGCTTATAAGTTAACCCGTCACTCACTATTACGCCCCGCGTTATCTATGTTGTAATCTGATATTACGTGTTTTTAGCGGTGTCTTGTCTTTTTTAACAGCCGCTATAAGAACTAACGAATGTTGTTTCTAATTCGCGAATTCTAGAGTTTCATGACAAATTATGGTATACTATTCTCCAAATCTTTAATAGAAAGGTTGTTTTCAAATCTAAGTTACTTATTTTTATATCTGAACCACCCTGGATAATCTTTTGATTAGCATAAGCATAACTCGTTCCAGGAAAATTTCGCTTTGAAACACGGCGAAGAGATTAATTGCTTATCTCTGAATTTTCGCTCAAAGGATGAATGACCCTAAAAGTGACTCTATAAGCTCTTCACAAATTGAGTTATATTTCTCATTTTTCGCATTTCTATTTCTCCGAGTTCGTATTACTCATTTCCGTTCCTAAGTTATTCCTCAGATATCCATTTACGTCGATGTATCTCCGAGGAGTCTCGGTCAGCGACCAGTCAAGGCTCACATCTCATTTGAACGATCACGAGGTTGAAAGTTGAAACCACTTGCCGCGTCGACTCGCTATCTAAATTTGAATAATATTCATGGAAGTTTAAATTGGACTTCTGAATGGATTTCATATTTTTTTCTTTAATTGTAACGTTGGAAATTTGTATAGGTGTAGGTAATTTGAATTTCTGAATTCTTTGATAGAAAATTATCGTGAAGTTTTACGAAATATATTCATGTTTAGAGATGTTGTAACTTATATGCTTTTCGCCACAATGTGCTTAAAAAGACGAACACAAATCTCGCACAAATTGTAAGTTGCGGTTAGCCGTACGCTTGGACATAATGCACCTCTCCTTTACCGGGTACTAAACCTTAATGGTGCAAATGAATTGAGGTCTCGCTTCTCGATGCACGTAGAAAACTCTTGGGCCGTTCCAACAACGACATTGAGCTCAAGACATTGCATTCTGCCCTTGCTTCATTTACTCAGTCTGTGTTAATATAGTCATACTTTGCAATTAGCTCGCACCTGCTTTATTTGACCTTTGCCTTCAGTCACGATATTCGCATTTTCTCTTTGAATATCTTATTGCGACCAACCGATCGGTAAATGCATTTTTATGAACGTATTCCGTTTGCTCATTGAAATCACTACTATTACAGATTGTTTTGCGGTTCATTGCTGCAAATGTTATTGTTGTTAGTTTATTTTCAAGACAGAAGAGAAGGTTGAATAATTGATTTATAATTAATTGATTTATTTATTCCAAAACAGTTATCGTTGCGTGTGAATTAAAATTTAAAAACTAATAACACGAGTAGTAGAAATTAATGGTAAATTACATGATTATGATTACACACATCAGGTTTTACTGCGAGTCACAAAACTACTTGAGGTAAAATGGACCCTCTTTAAGTTTCTGAATGACATGAATAATCCTTTGTTATTCATTGTTAAAACTAGTCATCCATCCACTCACAAACTGCAGCAACCACTCAACTAACTTAAGATTAACTTAAGCTTATTGTAATACATTCTTATCGATATGTGACAAGTAACCTAGTAAACATAACTTATTTACCGCAGTCAGCTGATAGTAAATTTGACCCTAATACATACATTTTGCGGTCACCATCATAACGTATAACCTATCGTGCCTCCGTCTCTAGCGTGATAGCAAAACCTTTTCTAGGTACATTTGTGTTCAGGGCAAGTGACGTCACACGCTGACGTTTGAACTGTGGTTTGGTCAATTTGTTGTGTCGTGGTAATTATCGCTAATGGTTATTGAATTTGTGACGTAATTAAGTTATGTTGGGTAAATCTAATAATAGTCCGACTGCAGGGACTCGTTAGCCTCGCAAAAGTGTTTACATTGATTATTATGCTTAATCACATTTTTAAGGGTTTTTGTATCTGTGTTCTGTTTTTTTATGGGATAAGCCGGTAAACGAGCAGACTGATCATCTGATGATAAGCAATCGGCGTCAACCATGGACACCCGGAACATCAGAGGTGTTACAAGTGCGTTATCGGCCTTTTAGGGATTAAGAATTTGAGGATTGTTAGAGATTTAAGGATTGGGAAGATTGAGAACGGGGGAAGGTAATTGGGCCTCCGGTAACCTCACTCAGACGACGAAACACAACGCAAGCGTTGTTTCACGTCGGTTTTCTATGAGGCCGTAGTATCACGGTCGAGCTGACCCATTCGTGCGGAAACATGGCTCTCCCACACTTAATGACACTGTAACACCAAAATGACATTATTTGTATGTTACAATTATGTAAGTAGGTAAAAAGTGAGACCTATACATTTTAGATGCAAAAAAAACTAAATCCGAAGTTAAAGGGAGTCAGCACTTGATCTGATTGACTTTTAGATCAGCAGGACTGTAATTCATTAAGTTCTTGTATTTAATTAACTTTTTAAAGTGAAATTGTAATTGTTTTATTATCTCTGGTCTACTATCAGATCTTGTATGTTATTGTGTGGCCGTAGTACGTTGGCCCTATCAGCGGTTGCCATGGCAACGCTACTTACCGTTAACCTAACGCTGCTCGGCCATCATCGAATAAATTCGACGATGGTGTGACGCAACTTTGCGATAGAATCTCGGTAATTAAGAATGTATTTAAGGAGTTTACTAAATGCTGCTAGTTGATTGATTCGATGAAGATGAAGCGGAATTGAGATGGTTTGGAAGTTAGTATAAAGAACTGATGTTTTAATATGGGTAGAATTTTCTGGGAATCTTTCATAACTGCGGTTTGATGATCAAAACCTACCTATAAGTTTGAATTTATTCGTATAAGCTACTTATAAGTCAATTTGTTATGTTAGCTCTTAAACGTTGACATACACCGTTCACATTTACATGTTCACCATCGTCCGTCACACTACCATACATCAAAATGAAGATTTTTGGTTATCAAGTTCAATGAGACCTTCTGACCCAAATGTCCACAGTTATGTCGATAGGAATATAAAACAACGAACTTAGTCCTTTGATGTAAAAACGAATAACTACACAAAAACTTGATGACCTCACAATCTGATTGTTTCTGATTGAACCGAGATATTTGATTAGTGCTACTTGTTAATGTTCATTCGAGCGATAAGGTTCACCAAACCAATTTCAGACTAGGGTAACTTTGAATAGATTACGTATCTAGATAGTTTCGGCAAAACCCACCGGATTCTCAAGCATCCTGTATCAACTGAGTCTAATTAAAAATTTATGTATTTTGGCAAGTAATCATATGCATAATTGCACATCGTAACCTTGTTTTGCTATTGTTATATTTATTATGTACGCAAATAACTTGCATGTTAAATATTTTATTCACGTCGTTCTTATACTGAGTGCAATGACTGTTGCATTACTGTTAGAACCTCTGAACATATAGGTACATGAGTTACGCGGATAGCGAAAGAATACTGATCTTATGCGACGCACGCGTGACGGGAAAGTGGATTGTACGGGACCCTGTTTCTTTGTTGTTGAACTGTCAATCGGGACGCGAGGACTAAATTCTGCTATTCTCTGTGATGTATAAAATCGTTAAATTACTAAAAAGAGTTTTATGTGAAGTTAAAGCTCGCACTGAAAAACTGTCAGTCCAAAAAGACCAATTTGTCAGCAATGTGGTCTAACCTTTTTGAAAATAAATCACTAAACATGTTGCTATGCGTAAAACTGATGAGTAGATTTGGTTAGTTTAATTGTTTGTTTTCAATATTGAGAGAGTTCGAGATAAATTTATCAGAAAAGCGGAAAAAAATTTGAAAAAAATTAGAACAATTTTCGGGTTTGCTAACATAACGTAAGTTATATTAACTCGTCGAGTACCGGTTTTATAGACACAATTAAAGAACAATAGGTCGCGGTCACCGGTGACCGCTTGGTGTTTGACAGTTTAATGTCAAAAACAAAAATAAGCCACACACAACATTGATTGCCAATAAAAAATGCGAATGTATTATAGATTTTGTGTATTAAACTTCATTTATTTTTAGATGGATGTGGGGACCTGTAAATACCCTTGTCATTCGATATTAATCATCCATTAGGAACTTTAGAAAGGTTCAGTCTAGACAGTAAGGAAACCATAAGAATCCCAGGCGAATATCCATAAAATAACGAAGTATGTATTTTTAAGCATATATTGAATTGTCTATTATTTCTTTAACATAACCTTGTACAGATATCACAGACAGGCTTATAGCGATGGGCTTTCCCGCCGAGAAGTTAGAAGGAGTATACAGGAATCACATAGACGAAGTGTACAGGTTTCTAGAGAAGATGCACAAGGACCACTATAAGATATACAACCTCTGCTCGGAGAGGTCTTATGATTCGAGCAAATTCCACGAGAGGGTGAGTACAAGCCTTTGTGTCTTTTTACTTTTTGTATTTCCGCCGGCACATATCCTGCCACAATGATGGATGTAAAGTGATTACTTTAATGCGTTGTCGTTAATCAAATACAATTACACGAACTGGTTTTGCATCTCAAGGTCTTATCCGCAATACCGTGGAAACGCAAATTAATTATAATTTAGCTGTAAACCGAATTTGTGAATTCTGGATGACTGATTTACAAATCGGACCGTACTCAACAATTCAACATCCAGATTCCGCCACAGCTTTTAAACAATCTGGATTGAGCGCTTAGAGTTGTGATAAACCGAAATTTAATTCTGCGTACCTAATTGTTGCGATCGGTTTTTCGAAAAGCATTATAGGAAGGATTTAATGAATATTGTAGTCTACGTCACCCTTAATAGATGTATGAGGTTTTACCCGCTCAATGAGTAAAGGAATCATTGACTTGATTCGTCACCCGACCTCCTTTCCTCATTCTGTTCCTAATGTCGGAATTATGTATAAGGTAGGGTTTGGTAATTGGAATACACTCTTACATACAATTACGTAAATCTTGCGAGTGATTTGAGTCGTTTACACGTAAATTGATGTTTGTAGTGTTGTGTTACTGTATTGTTGGGAATTAATGACATTCTGCCATCGGGCTCCAGAGCTCCTTCCACGTTTTGCTTTGTTGTGATGACGCACGTTTCTATTAAATTCGGATTGCTGCTACGATTTGTTGAAAACTGCTTATTTTTGTGGTTTTACAGAAATATGTAGGTATATGCAGTTTTATGATTGACGACAATGAAAAGGTGGTAGTTTCCTAAGTCTTATTAGTGCGATGTGTAGCAATAGGTACCTATTACTTCTCATCATATGTGACTAATGAATAATGACATAAGTATATAAGTACTGGTGGTAGTGGCGTGATGTTCGGTTTCATTAAATAATATTACATTTAAAAAGGTTATCTACTTAGAAGGGACTTAATCCGCGTTTGCGGTGTTATGTGCTCTAAAAATAACTTCACAGTTGTCATTAACGTGCAAATTTAAATTAGTTAATGCCTTAAAGCAATTAATTTTTAACGACTACACCTACAATTTCGTTTTGATAACAAAACGTAAGGTGAAACAATGTCAATGCAATCACCTCGGTAAATATTTAAATTGAACCTTTACATTATTTAATTACCCTTTTGGGTCAGCGACAGAAATCTCCCCCTAATTTTAATTAGGTTTTTTTTTCATGCAAAATTCGTCGCAAAAAAGAATTTTGTAATTACCTCTTAAAGCGATTTTTTTATGAATTTCGTTAGGATATGGAAATGTATAGCGCTATAAGAGAGAATAATACGATATGATTGATTCCTATTGAGAGAAAATCAAATTACCAGTACGCACTCTATATCTAGGTTATCAAGAACTCCGAGCGACTGTTATTTATGTTTTATATCCTTTATGTACGGAAGCTTTATATATTACATTCGAATATTTAACATGCCGCCCGTTGCGCTGCAGTTTCTTCAACATGACCATGAATTACAACTCCAAATAAAATTTAAAACTCCCAACTCTTGATAGAGGCCATTGTGCATTCAAGGTTATATTGTAACAAGTTTTTTGTTAATGCAATGTTGTTGCATAATCCCCATCCGTAATGACCCCTCCCCTTCTACATAATAAGTGCTCCCTGTGTGTTAACCCTCGCATTGTAACAAAGGACCAACGGTTTGCGGATCAAAAGACCACAATAAAATGCAGAAATATTAAAGTTTTGATGTTTCATATTCTATTCAGCAACTGATGCAGTTGCTATTGCTTGCATAAATAAATTTTTACATGGACTGCCATCTGTCATGGAGCAAAAATTTGGAGTATTTTAACTTCCCAGTGTTCAATTGAGTGCATTCGCCTCAACGTTGTCAAGATAACGTCCTTACGATTGCTTGGTGTCGGACCTACGGCGCTGTGCAAACATTTCAAGTTTTAATACAGCCAATGTCACCACTCACCGGCGAGGGGTTAACTCTTACATAATTGTTGGCCGAAGCGTTATCTGCTGCAAGCTGTGACAACACAAATATGATTATGAATAGGTGGCGTGTTCGAAGTCACGCCTCTGACTCACACCTTGCGTACGTGTGCTCTTACACGAATCGTACATCAACTTTCAAAATCATTCTTATAATTTCACCCCTAACAGCCATTAAAATAAAGACGAATTTTCCGTGATAAAAATGACCCAATCACTAGTTGTCCGCATTACTGTATCTACCAAACATCAAATGTTATTTTATATTTAGCAATTTTGTCACCGAAATTTAACACTTGTATCAGCTGTTTTAATACATATGGTTTCCTTATAAAGCGGAATGGTTTTCAAAGGAATGATATCTAACAATTTGCGGAAGATTAAGTTTGGAATTGTTAAATGGTGCGCAATTTTGAAGGGGATTTTGTGATGGAATAAAGGTCGTGTTTGATCAATTTTGGCACAAAATTCGAATACGCACGTTTTGTTGGTATTTTAGAAAAAAATTCAAGAACCAAAACAGCTGGGAAATTATAATAAATATTAAAACTATGATACTCAAGGAAATTGTCACATTTACGTAAAATATAACACGTAAGTAGTTTATTGCATAATAATATTATGAGTAGATACTTTACAATTGTTCCAGTAGCTAGAGAAGGAAGGAAGCAATATTTTTTAATGGCATCGCAAATATTTAGCTTTCGGCATTCTGGGAACTGCTACGATTTAATAGGAAGACAAAAGCTAGGTTTTTTATGGAGACCGATAGTGGTGTGCGAGTCGACATGGACGGTGTATTCTGCCAATTTCTAAAGTGGGAGTGGCACGAGGGTACCAAAATAAACTTAATATATTCCTTTACGTTATTATAGCAATTAACTTAGTAACATTTCGGAAACGTCATTATCTAAAGCAATTTTGTAGTTAGATGGCAAAATTTTCTATGCAAACCATCTTTTTTATATCGTAGATCTTAAACCATTGGTTGTAAGACTTAAATACGTTGCGTCTAGTATAAACTGGCCGCTTAGCAACAGCGTTTCTAAAAGGTGAATTCTAGGCACCATAAGTAGAAGACATGGTCGCAGTTGACGTATAGTCGTACACACAGTACTTACTATAGTCCTAAGGTCTTTCACAGCTGACTGTTAAGATTCTCGTTACAGTGACCTCCACAAACACCTGTGCATAACTTCTAGCCGGTTCTAAAGGCTACTTTGTCGTCTATCGCCACTGTACTAGTCAATATTCAATATTGTTTGACGTACTAAACCAATACTTACCAGTCATATCGTATTATAGATTTATGTACCGATTCGAGATTCTTAGCAAATATCTCACTTGTTACGTGTTTAGAGGTATTTTGTTGGGTACCTAATGCAAGTTTTGACGATAATTATTGGTATCTGGTGATGACGTTGTTAGTTCCACAGCTTCTGTGTGTGTGATTTCCGATTGCATTCTTAAAAAAAATTTTGCCACGGCCTTTCCTTCTTCAATAAAAACGCTCCTCATGATCATGATAAAAGAACCCAAGAAGCCTGTAGGTTTTAGTGTCCTCTATAATTGAAACGAAACTCCCTGACAACCACCGGGAGACGAGCCACGCCGCGCTCCGGACTATCCAAGCTGTGTAACTCTTTGTTTTATTTCTTTATTTATTTAATTCGCGTTCGTTTTACGATCACTATAGAGGGCCCCAAGCATTTAAACAAAGATTAAACAATAAACTGAACCATCAATAAAGTTGATTTTATTTCAATGTTTTATCAACGTCTTCAATTCCGCTAACGAATGGTAGGGTACCTTATGCACGGGGGATTTGGCAGCTATACGGGTCACGGTGACGTCATCCTACCAACACACGCATTTTATGTATACAGTCTAAAAATGTCACAGACAGTGTTAACGTGCTAGTAAGTTCAATACGTTATTTATTATATAGAACAATGTGTACCAGCCATAGACATGTTAAATGGCAGATGCGTCATTCGCGCGTATTTATGTTAGTTGCGTCAAGTTTTAGGTAATTTATGTCTTAGGTAATATTGAGTCGGTGGTGGTCGTGGTAGTTACGATGGGGTGAGGTTAATGGGTCACCCACATTGTCATACTGTCATTTACAGCACATAGTGTCTATAACAAAGTATGTTGTAGGCTTGTAGCTAAGGACATTAAAATAATTATGTTCCAATTACTGGGAAGGTTGTGTAAATTGTCATAAAACCACAAAAACAAGAGTATTAATTTGTAATGTTTGTAGCAAATGGTTGTAATAACTTACATAATTGTTTATATGTTATGATATATTACTAACTACTCAGAAACAGCATTTGCGTCTCTTCAGATCGTCTATTTGCCTGTCAAACAAGCTGAATTGAATTACATCCAAATATCGTTCATCTATGTAACTCGTGGTTGTTATTCAAATCTGATTTGCCTCATATACAAACCATTTGCAATTTATGATTCCAATTTGTAATTGTAATTTTTGGTGTCAAATCCATCTTTCATCAATTCCAGTCCCGTATAAGTTATGGCATCGACAGCATTTAACGTCAAAACCTGGCGTGCAATGACGCTGGGCCTGCAATTAGACTCAATAAATACTCGGTTTAGAAATAGCTATTCACAACTTCTCTATATAAATAGTAATCGTAAATGGCGACTACATTGCCATTGCAATACAAGCCAAGTTTATAAGGAAATTCTCCACGTAATGATTATAAGCATTATTTTAATTGAGACCGTAATTTATCTGAAATGCAACACTAATGAGGGGCGACGACCCCGCCCGGTGGTGTAAGATAACGAATAACTTTGTACCCCCGTACACGATCTGATTACGGTACTCTCTTATTTGAAATGTTGCTAAATGTAAGAGTATCATTCAGTTGAAACGAAACGATGGGAATTGAACAAAGACAGTGTTTAATTATATTCTGGCAATTAGTTAATGCTGTCCATTA